CGGAGCCAACCTTTAGGCGTAAATTGTGCGGTGGTAAGCCAGGCACGTCCAAAGAGTTTAAAAATTCAATTGGATAGTTGGTGGCTTCATCTTCATTTGTGACGCAGTCAATAGATTTGAATGAATGCATTGTTCCAATGATCTTATTTTGAATTATGTAGTTCAGGTCATCTACATCTTTATTCTTAGCCGCTAAAATTGCTCGCTCACTCAACCATTCATTATTTTTGTAGTTAGAAATAATATTTGGAAATACATTGTTGATAAGTTCGTCTTTTGATGAGACAAAATTACAGAAATTATTTGGAAATGATATTAATCCGCTCGATTCATCGACAGGTACTTGACCATTACCGATAGTCAGCAATTGCTCCGAGAAATCTTCAGCAGATGTATCATTAAGCAATGTAACTCTCATGTTTGTTGTCAGCTGCAGTTTCTTCACATAGCGCCATAGATTTGACGATTTGAGGCAAGCGTTTATTTCATCGGCAGCCGTAGATCTTGGAATTACTGGCAGTATTTGGCGGAAATCGCCAGACAGTAAAATCATTGCTCCTCCAAAACATCTCGAGTCATTGCGTAAATCTTTTAATGTTCGGTTAAGTGCTTCTAATGCACGTTTATGCGCCATTGTGCATTCGTCCCAGATGATGATTTTCGATGCCGCTAAAACTTTGGCCATTGCTGAGTGTTTTGCAATATTACACATTGGTTCTTCAATAGTTTGAAGATTTAACGGTAATTTGAATGCTGAATAAGCCGTACGGCATCCTTCTAACAATGTGGCTACTATTCCAGGAGAAGCAACTGCAACCGCTATGTTGGATCTCGCCCGAACAGTTGCTAAAACTAATGACATAAGGAATGTCTTGCCAGTTCCACCAGGGGCATCTAGGAAATATAAACCACCATTTTCATCAGCGATTGCCTTCATTAAAGTATCATAAACTTCCTTTTGTTGGTAATTCAACAGGGGTACATTCCTTTGAACTACTAAATCTAATTCCTGGTGATCATATTCACGTTCCCGTTCCAATTCTCGATTAAATGCGTCATTCATTTCACGATTTGGCGCTGGCATTCCTAACCTGATTAATAAATTACCGCACATGAGGTAACACATATCTTCGATCAAGAGTAAAGCACGATTATGTATCTCCTCATTCATCTCAATATCGTGATTTCTGGAACTGACACGACTTTGATGTAAAATATCTTCTGACATACTATCCTTGTATTTGTGCCACAGGTTACATGGGTTTGATGGAAAACATGTCGAAATTATGATAGCGAATAATGTGCGTATCTGACTTGGAGATGCAGAGATAATGGCTTCAGCGATTGTCGTATCCCAATGGGTATCGTTTTCTAATAAGTTCAATTCTTCACATGCAGCACGATATGTTGGGAATATTACACCATTAACAGTTCGTAGTGTCTCAAATGAAGTTGGCCCACGCACATTTACCAGCAACAACCGCAAATAGAAACATTCATCATTCTTTGGATGAACTGTATACATACGACCAAGAGCATCAGTAGAACGCACATCTGGATACCCAGGAACCGCATCACCTTGCTTCCGTCTTTGAAAATTCTTGGATGAAGCATTCCAAGTATAATAACGTGGCATCTCCGAGTAAAGCAAAGTTCGTGCAAACTGATCGCTTTGGCAGATTGCAAAAAAACTGGTCAATGTAGTTGCTGGAGGTGTTTCAGCACGTTGCGTAGCATTCGAAGCCGTGAAATATACTCGTTGACCATTCTCCAGATGCACCGCCAAATGTATAACAGTAGGATGACGTTCGTGAATTGGAAATGCGAATATACGCCAAATCGCTTCATTACAGTTCACATAACGACCAACTTGATAGCGTGAAATTTCATCGTTGGTATTTGAGGATTGCAATCCAAAAACCGCCATATCACTGCCTTTCGTGACATATTTGCAAATATATTTTATGGACTTAACTGAATTGCAGTATTCAACGTTGCAATGTTTCTTGAACGTTTTAGAAATAAGTGGCGAATATGGAACAATCCAACTATTGTCGACAACGAAATCCATTCTTTTCACTTTCGTTGTGACAGTTCGACCGTTGTCATCTGGTGATCGACGCCGATACAGCGGATACCCATCGTTGCCAGTGACAGTCTCCGCCATTAATTTCCGTGGATATCGTTTAGAGCACTTTCCATCGACCATGCAAGGTGATTGGGGATTGATGGCACCACACGGTCCATGAATCATATTAGTAGTAACAACATCATGTAGGTCTGGATCGACTTCATGATCAGGAATCTCGGCACATATGATATCATCTATTTGATCAGGCTGAATTCTTTCCACTATGTCACTACTGTGAATACACCGTGAATAGTCAACAGTGTAGTAGTGTCTGGGGGCTCGGGAGACTGAGACCTCGAAAGCCCTGAGGAAGGCATCAGAGAGGATGCCGAAAGCTTGGCAAAATGGACATCGACGCGGTTCAACCCGGAAGACTGGTGAGTTTGATATTAATTTTAGTATAATATTAATCTTAGCTCTAGGTTTTATTGTACTAACCGCGGAAATCTTTCCGATCATATATATAATATATATATATATATATATATATATATATATATTATATATATATATATTAAATTATATATATATATAAATATATATATATATATTATATATATATATATATATATATATATTTGATCTATTTTAAAGGGTAAAGGCCGTATGACACTATGCATTTTCTTGTATCATTTCTTATATCGTTTCTGATATAGAAAGTTATTTGTTTCTTGTATCGTTTCTTGTACGTACATTTTTGCCCTGTATGACACTATGCAAGTTCTTTTTCCAGAAACTGTATGTGATTTGGCACATGATTGGTCGAAATTTTGACACCTATAAAAATAGAACTGCAGTACCTGAGGCACCGAACAAGGGCCTGAGGACCCCAAGCTACTGGGGACTGAGAACATATGCTACTGATTATTTTTAAAAATACTGTGGTGCAAAATGAAAGATAAAATGTCCCAATATGAAAACTAAATTGGAAACCACAATTTTTGAAGATATTCAACAGGTTGTAATGGAAGACAGAAATAATAAATAATTTGGTTGTAATAATTTATTTGTTTTTTTTTTAATTATGTGTTTGAATGGTATGCTCTTGAAACGCTACTCTCTTATTTGGAGATATAAAATAATCTTTAAACTCATCACGAATTTTTACTGTGGTTATGTATTGTTTTTAGTAATACATCTCCTCCTACTTTCAGTAGTTCCGATGCTATTTGATACAATCACTGTGATTTATTGTTTTTCAATTTGGCTACTGCTGTTCTAATCTTGGTTATTGTTGGTGGGCACTTTTCTCTGATGTCTGCTTGGATTAATTGTATGTATACATCAGAGATACTTACATATCTCTGGTATATATCAAAGTTCTGCTCCAGCCATAGAGAAATAAAAATAATAATTATTTTTATTTCTCTATGCCTCCATCCGCCAATATGACATGAAAGAAGCTTTACGTTTTAGCGGCTTTGCGCACACAAATTCACACATTGCGACAAGAAAATGCAGCGGACACAAATTCTTGTATCGTTTCTGATATAAGAAACTATACGCCTGTATGACACTATCCATTTTTTTGTTATATCAGAAACGATATTGAATGATACAAGAAAATGCATAGTGTCATACGGCCTTTACATAGGTCTCGTATTTTTCTAAGTGAATACTTCTTATCGCTCAGCATGATATTTTTGCACAGGCCCGAAATCATATTTAGCGTGACTCGAAAAATAGAGACGCGTACAGTAACCTTGCTGTATACAATATATACATATATTTATTATAAAAATATTGTGACATATTTTAACAATCGTCATATATTAGTTTTCTATTACAACTCGAGAACGACTGCAGAAACCTTACATGCAGCAGTCCACAGCGATTGGTACATCAGATGTTGGGTTTTTTGAGGAATTTTTCAGTTCACTGCAGTGTTATGAACAGTTTTTTAATTTAATGCTTGAATTTGATTTTATCAAAACATCTATTTTATGTTATGTATTATTTCAGTTAATTTAACAAAAAACTCTTTGAAGGCAAATGCTCCCTCCTGAGCTTTTATATATTTTAAACTGTGACATTAGTTATAATTCCTTGTGTAATTAAAATTCGAAAAAATCTTACCAAACTATTTATTTTCAACTAAAATCAATTTACAATAACTTTTTTTTCTCCAGTGTGTACTTTCAAATGCCTTTTCAAACCACCTACTTGATTAAACTGCTTAAAACAAATTTCACACTGGTCAGATTTTTCTCCAGTGTGTACTCTCAAATGTGTTTTCAAATTACCTACATGATGAAATTGCTTAAAACAAATTTCACACTTGTAAGGTTTTTCCCCAGTGTGCAATCTCAAATGTGTTTTCAAATGACCTGCTTCCTTAAACTGCTTAAAACAAATTTCACACTTGTAAGGTTTTTCTCCAGTGTGTACTCTCAAATGCTTTTTCAAATTATCTACATGATGAAATTGCTTAAAACAAATTTCACACTTGTAAGGTTTTTCCCCAGTGTGCAATCTCAAATGTATTTTCAAATGACCTACTTGACTAAACTGCTTAAAACAAATTTCACATTTAGACAGTTCTTCGCCAGTGTGCAATCTCAAATGTCTTTTCAAATTACCTACTTGACTAAACTGCTTAAAACAAATTTCACACTTGTAAGGTTTCTGGCCAGTGTGCAATATCAAATGTCTTTTCAAATGACCTACTTGACTAAACTGCTTAAAACAAATTTCACATTTGGACAGTTCTTCGCCAGTGTGCAATCTCAAATGTGTTTTCAATTGATATGCTTGATTAAATTGCTTAAAACAAATTTCACACTTGTAAGGTTTCTCGCCAGTGTGCAATCTCAAATGTCTTTTCAAATGACTTGCTTCACTAAACTGCTTAAAACAAATTTCACACTTGTAAGATTTTTCTCCAGTGTGCACTTTCAAATGTCTTTTCAACTGATCTGCTCGATTAAACTGCTTAAAACAAGTTTCACACTTGTAAGATTTTTCCCCAGTGTGCAAGATTATATGTTGTTTCAAATTACTTGCTTGATTAAATTGCTTAAAACAAATTTCACACTTGTAAGGTTTCTCCCCAGTGTGCAATCTCAAATGTGTTTTCAAATTACCTGCTTCACTAAACTGCTTAAAACAAATTTCACACTTGTAAGATTTTTCTCCAGTGTGCACTTTCAAATGTCTTTTCAACTGATCTATTCGAAACTGCTTAAAACAAATTTCACACTTGAAAGATTTTTCCCCAGTGTGCAGGTTTATATGTTGTTTCAAATTACTTGCTTGATTAAATTGCTTAAAACAAATTTCACACTTGTAAGGTTTTTCACCAGTGTGCACTCTCAAATGTCTTTTCAATTGATATGCTCGATTAAACTGTTTAAAACAAGTTTCACACTTGTAAGATTTTTGTCCAGTTGCAACTTCTATATTTTTATTTAATGTTTTTCGTTCAGAGTGTTGACTCATATTATTTCCTTCGTAAGATGAATTCTCAGTTAATGTCTCCATAAATTCCATTTTGTGTTCTTCTTGGACATAATCTAAAATACAAACCAGATAAGTATATTATAAATATTTGAGTATTATAAGTAAAAATGAGTCCAATAATCAAATTAAAGCATAATAAAATTGAAGACAGTTGCAACAGTTAATGATATAAACATGTTTTAGAAACCTGTGTACATATGTGTAATAGACAGCCCTATTGTCTTTTACCAGAACGACTGTGAAATGTGCAGAAGGTGGGGAAAATCTTAATTCTTTGGCATTATTGCATATTTTCTGGCAGGGTGGGCATTCTGATTGTTTATTATTCTGTGATATTACAGAACTTTTTTAAACTGTCAAAAAAAAAAATTTCACATTGTGAAAAATCTGTAAATTTACATAATTTAAATATTAGCATCAATTTTTTATTTTTCATGAGAAAACAGAACAATAAACGTAAAGAAACGTAACCAAATCTAACATGACCCTTGTAAAAAAGCTATAATTTTCATTTAAAAGTAGGTAGATAATAATAAAATGTTATTTTAGTGTCCAATATGAAAGTAAATATTTATTTTTCATTAGAAAACATAATTTTGAGTAACTATGGCAACACTGGTTAAAATTACCATTTTTGACCAGAAGCACAGAATAATGAACAATCAGAAGGGCCACTCTCAGATGCCGCCTTTGAAGTTTTTCAGCACGTGCGCTATGTTTTAGGAGGACACAAACACAGATCACCTACCTCCCTAGATGTTCCACGACAATACTTTAGTTGGATATGAAATTCAGCGCTCCATAAGATTAGTATCGGAACTAATTCAAGCGAGAAATTACGCGGGAAATTCAAATTTTAATTTTGGTGGGAAAATTTAAATAAAGTTTAAAATTTTTAAATATAATTTGGTATATTTGAAAAAAAAAAATGCATGACATTTTTAATTTCAAATATACACAATACAATTTAGGAAAAATAAAACAAAATGTAAATTATTTATTTATTTAATACTTGTAAAACAATTTTGTAATTTAATATAGAATAAAAATATGCTATTATCACTGAAAATTGTACAATTTTATGGAAAAAGCTTATAAAAAAGTCAGAAAAATAGCAATTTAAAATTTACTGAAATTCCATAAATCGTCAATATCACAAAATAAAAAATAATAAAATACACAATGTATTGCAAAATTTAAATAAATTGCATAATAAATCCTTACGAACTAATACATTTTAATACAAGTTTCTGCATGTGATACTCAAATATATATTTATACAAATTGTTTAGTTACTTGTACATAACACTATTCCTTAAGAAACTCTTCTACTGAATAATATGATCTTTCAGATAGATAGGATTTTGTTCTTTTACGGAACTCAAAGAAAGAAGTTGCAGATTTAAGTTCATCAATCAGTTATTTGTTCTCTAATATCAAATATTTATTGGACTCACCATACAAATGTAAGCTAGGAATTGCATTTTTATACAATTTATGACTCCATGAAGAAACAAACATCTTCAAAGTGTCTGTGGCAGATTCGTTTTGTTTTATAAACTGTACTAGCATTCATCATATCTAAATTAGGATTATTTATAACACTAAGCCACTTCCTAAATCGTGTAATGTCCGATAATATATATTCTTTATCTATGGTAATGTCTTCATCGTGGATTTGGAAAGGTATGTCTAATTAATGACGAATTAGTACATTGTAGGATACAACATTTATTGTGAAAAACCATATTTAACTGATTATTATTAATCTGCAAAATACTATTTGAACACCGCCAGGAACATTTAAAACGTAGATCACTGAGGTAGGTGATTCGTTTTGTAATTTACAAACTAACAAAATCAAAATATAGACGCTAATATGACAATTGGCGATTGACAATTATAATACTTTTCTTAGTTGTGTTCTATACCTAAACTGCAGAGTAAAAGTAGAGACAGAGTAAAGCGACATCTGAAGATTAGTATCGGTACTACAAATGACATTAAGTTTAATTTGACCTTGAACTACCTACGTGAAACGTCTAGTTATTAGTGGTCTGTGGACACAAATATATGATTTGTGAGGTTATGCATTTGTTTACATTTATGTTTAATTATATTATATTTATGTTACTATATTTTAAAACTGTTAATATCATTGTATAGTATGTCTATGATTGCCGTAAGTCAAATATACCTGTTTTTTTTTCCATGCACACCACATAAACAACACTGGTTCCCTTTAAAATCCTCGTAAAACATGGCGGAACGTCTGCGCGAAGGAGATGCGCGTACTTAATTTTCCGTGGAGAGTGGGCATTCTGTGCCAGAAGAAACAGTTGTCATTCCTGTCATTTCTTGTTGTTTCATGGTAAATAATGGCGAATAATGGCGGTGGCTTTTAAAAATCGGGCAAATTTTAAATGGAAATTACATAAAAAATAACGTCTTGCACCGCATAAAAATCATTGCACAATCATTAGTAAATGAAGCAGAATTCATTGATATAAATTTCATCTCCGTAAACATGGTTCCGGCTTATTACACTAGTACCTTAAATTGTTTTGAAACAGAGTAACCTAGGACAAAAATTGATTACCTAGCAAGTGGAAACCACTTATCTTCAGTTTTATCAATGCAAATGTCACCTTAAAAACAACAAAATTTTAATGAGCAAAATTTATGATTTTGTGTAGGTATATCAACCACTATTCCCTTATAATCCATTATTCTAATAAAAATTATTAAATAGACCTATTATATAAATAAAAGGTTAGTAGTAATATAGTTTGGTAATAAGTTTGGTTTATAAAAATAGGTCTCAAATTAGCAAGGCTAATAAAGTGGCCAAAGTTGGCTAGGCTTGGGAAAGTTATTCCTATTAAAATATGGGGAAATATATAGTTACTAACCTTTTTCAGTTTTTTGGTTTTCTTCAAGTGATATAAGTTTATGGCAGTTATATCCATGTTGTTCTATTTCAGTATCTATGGGACATGTCTTTAAGTTTAAATAATCGTATGTGTAATGTGTACTTTGAATATTGGATTCCTCCTGAATTTCAAATTTAAAGCCATCCAATTCTTTACACTCTATTTCTATTTTACACGTTTCGTCGCTAAATTCTTGTTTTCCTTCCATTTGATTGCAATCCATTTTAACCTATTATTTTAAAAATTTTTATTGCTTGGATTTGGATTGCATGTGTTATGTGTTTCTCTTCTTAAAGTCATAGATAAAGAGGCAGAGCAGAACATGAGCAGAAGAAGTGCCGATGAAGAATGAAGATCAACATAGATAAATAATATAATAATGAAGATGAAGGATTGAAGGATATGAAGTTGGCATAGACGTTACGTCAAATCTGTGTTTGCGTTGTTGCCATATCACAAATAAATCAGGAAAGAGCATGAAATTTAATGTTACTAAACATTCTTTTTATGTTTTTAAAAGAAGTTTAATTAATTTAAATTTAATTTATTATAATTTAAATTAACTTTAATTTTTAAGCTTTTATTTAGATACCATTTCATCCCAAAATTATAAGAACAATATAAAGAACAAACATCTGTTGCAATCTGGCAACTACATTTGACAGTATTGCCAAGTTTATTTACTAATCTACCAAAGGCCAATTATAATTTTTTTTCTAATAACTAACTGCAACTAATATAAAAAAAAACAAATATTAATTCGTTCGTGTTTCATATGAATTTAAAAATTTTTTTAAAAATACCCGATTTTATAAAATAATATAATAAAAATGAACTGTTTCAAAGCATATTTGAGGCATTAAACATATACATAATAACGACATGGCAATACCGCAAACACAAATTTGACATGACGTTTATGTCAAATTCATCGGCACTGTTTTCTTTTTGACAGAGTAAAAGTGGCTGGAAATTAATATACAACCAAGCACACGTACGCATAGACAATATTAATAGTAAACAAACTAAATTGTATATAAAATAGAACTTTGCAAATTACCGACAATCAATATTTATTTATCCTCACCATATATTAAATAGTTATGTTAAATTATAACAAATAAAATATATTTTTAAAATATATACTATCCAAAATTTGATGGGTTTAGTATACACTTCCACTATTTAGAATAATTCTTCTTTTTTCAAAGGATGAGGTCTGCAATAGTAGTATACTTGAGCTACTAATTCTGAGAAGTAGGAATTATTGTGTTATATGTTTCGCCTCTGCTAAGCGAATGGAGTATATATTATATACCTTGGATGAGAGAAAACAAAAAAAAAATTAATTATTTTGATGTCACATACGATACGACATTTGACTGACAGCTGCCAACTATTAACGTGAAACCAAAGAATATAGACGCTTATAGCTTATAGAAGCGTCTATATTCTTTGGTGAAACACCAGGTTTGTTCGTAGTAGCGATTATAAAATGTTTGTTATTTGAAATACAGTGCGCATGTTCAGTTGGAAACTGTTTGGAATTAGTTTGTGATTTTGTGCTCTGCGAACACCTAAAATTTGATATTTTGCATTTGTCATTGTCGTTTGTCAAATCTCGAAATCTCCTTTTTTTAAGGCCGTATGACACTATGCATTTTCTAGTATCATTTCTTATATCGTTTCTGATATAGAAAGTTATTTATGTTTTCTTGTATCGTTTCTTGCACGTACATTTTTGCCCTGTATGACACTATGCAAGGTCTTTTACCAGAAATTGTTTGTGATTTGGCACATGATTGGTGGAAATTTTGACACCTATAAAAATAGAACAGTCAACTGCAGCAGTACATAAGGACTCCAAGTTACTGGAGAATGAGGACATATGCTACTGATTATTTTTTAAAATACTGTGGTGCAAAAATTAAAGAAATAAAATGTCCCAATATTAAAACTAAATTGGAAACCACAATTTTTTAAGATATTCAACAGGCTGTAATGGAAGACAGAAATAATAATTTGGTTGTAATAATTTATTTGTTTTTTTTTAATTATGTGTTTGAATAGCATGCTCTTGACATTCTACTCTCTTATTTGGAGATATAAAATAATCTTTAAACTCATCACTAATTTTTAGAGCGGTTATTTCTTGTACAAGAAAATGCAGCGGACACAAATTCTTGTATCGTTTCTGATATAAGAACTATACGCTTGTATGACACTATCCATTTTTTTGTTATATCAGAAACGATATAAGAAATGATACAAGAAAATGCATAGTGTCATACGGCCTTTAGAATTCGATCTAATTAGTTTGTTAAATCTTTTTATTCACTTTTTTTGCATTTATTGTTTAATATTATTAATTTGATTTTATTAGTTTGATTATAGTTTTCTGAGTATATTTTATTTTTTGATTATACCTATATAGTTGTTATAACAACCCAACGTTTGTTTTGTGGTTATAAAATAAATTTATATACAACAACACCTCTG